TACAGGGGGTCACTATAGAATTGGAGACCGAGATTTGAAGTCTCACATCTGAGCAGCACTTTCTGATTAGGAACAAAATCATCAATGAGAAATAATTGTCTAAATAACTTTTTTTAAATAAACATTTTATTTATTATTTTTATTTTATGTGTATGAGTGTATTGCCTGCATATATGTGAGTGCACCTGTGTTGTGCCATACCTTGGAGGTCAGAAGAGGCCATCGGATTCCCCTGGAACTGGAGTTAAGGACGATTCGTAGCTGCCATGTGGGTGCTGGGAATCGAACCCAGATCCTCTGCAAGAGCAGTCAGTGCTCTTAACCGCTGAGCCACCCTCCAGCCCCTAAATAACTTTTTGTATGCACTTAAGCCTAATGTCTGGGAAGTGTAATCTTTTGAACTCTAAATATACTGATCACTTTAATCTTTGGTTATACTTTCTTTTGGGTGCTTAAGACCATACAGTTGGCCCAAATAAATCAATTTATTTTTAATTAATTAATTAATTTATTTTTACACCCACTTCCCAGATAGCACCCTCCCATAGCATCCCTCCCCCCAGTAGAGCCCTTATACTCTGATATCCCTGCTACTGTCTGCTGTGTTGACAGCACCCCCAGCCATTCCCCACTCTTGCCCTTCTGGTGAATCTAGTCAGCCTATCTAGAGGTCTTTGTTTTAGAAGGATCAGCTGTTCCTCATCTAGCGGTAATCAGTTGTTAATATTCCTGTCCTGGAACTCACTATGTAGACCAGGCTGGCCTTGAACTCACAGAGATCTGCCTGCCTCTACCTCTGGAGTGCTGGGATTAAAGGCGTGCGCCACCACGCCCAGCAATCAGTTTATTTTTGCACTTAAGGTTGTTTGAGGATCTGTTCCTCAGGGGTCACTTGGGCTTGGGAGGAGTCCCAGGCTCCTTTCTTTTACCAGTTCCATCTATGTGAAGATAAGTCAAAAGTCCTGCTCTCAACCATGACTGTCTTCACTTGGAAGCATGGAGGAAATGTTTCCGCTGAGTTGATCCTCCTCTTTGTAGACTAGACACTGGTTCAAGTCCATCTGGTGGGGTCTCCATGGCCTCCCAGAACAGGAGAACAGGTGACTCACTACAGTTACAGGACATTATGAGAGATGCCCCATAGTCCCCTGGAACTTAGTTGACCTTGTAGGGCAAGGGGCAAAAACTGTCCTTTTAAGTCCCTCTGACCAGATTAGTGTAGGCCTCAAAGTATGGTTCTTACACATACAATAAGGTTAGTTCAATCAGTCTGGTACATTTAATTACCATACATAAAGCTTGGGTAAAAAACCAAATATTCTCAGATAAACTTTGACTAGATGTATATTTTGT